TAGAAGATATGCAGCATCTTGCTGCAAACACTGAAGGACTTCAGGTTCCTCAAGAAGTACAGTCTGCTCTGTCCCTTCTTGTAGATGCTTCACTGTTGCATTTCCAGTCCAGTCTGTTGTCCAGGTGAACTCCAAGGTATTTAAACTTCTCCACCACCTCCACTTCTTCTCCCATGATGGAAATAGGGTTGGATCTGTTCCTGATTCTCCTGAAATCTACAATAATCTCCTTTGTTTTGTTCACATTCAAGATGAGATGATTGTTTCCACACCATGACACAAATTAGTCCACCAGTTCCCTGTACTCAGCTTCTTGTCCATCTCTGATACACCTGACCACTGCAGAGTCATCAGAATATTTCTGCAGATGACAGGAGTCTGTTTTATACTGGAAATCTGAGGTGTACAGAGTGAAAAGGAATGGTGCGAGTACAGTCCCCTGTGGTGCTCCTGAGCTACTGACCACCTGGTTAGACACACAACCCTTCAGTCTCACAAACTGTGGTCTGTCCGTCAGGTAGTCTTTGATCCAGGTGATTGTTGAGGCCTCCACCTGAGTCTTCTGGAGTTTCTGACAAAGCAAATCAGGCTGGATTGTGTTAAATGCACTGGAGAAATCAAAGAACATGATTCTCACAGTGCTGTCTGCCTTTTCTAGATGACAGTGAGTTTGCTGAAGCAGGTGTATGATGGCATCTTCAACTTCAAGTCCACGCTGATAAGCAAACTGCAGTGGGTCCTGATATGTGCTTGTTTGTTTAGTCAGGTGGGTCAGCAGAAGTCTCTCTAGGACCTTCATGATGTGGGATGTCAGAGCAACAGGTCTATAGTCATTGAGGACTGATGGGTGAGTTTTCTTTGGCACTGGAACAAGACAGGATGTTTTCCACAACACTGGAACCTTCTCCTGGGTCAGGCTAAGATTGAAGAGGTGCTGCAGAACCCCACAGAGCTGCTCTGCACAGACCTTCAGGACTCTGGGACTGACACCATCTGGACCTGCAGCCTTATTCCGGTTCAGTCTCTCCAGCTGCTTCCTCACCTGACTTCTGGAGACGCAGAGGGGGGAGGCAAAGGAGGTATCAGATCTGATTTGGTTGAAGACCAACATGTAGAAGAAGGGTCCATGACTGAGGTGGTAGATACAATATTTGAGGTGTGACAGGACAGCCTTGGGTCAAAGGAGGGTGGTATGTATGTTTGGCTGTGGGCAAGAGAGGAGGATGCTGAGCTTGTTCCTGAACTGAACCTATTCAAGAATGTGTTCAGTTCGTTGGCTCTGTCCAGGCTTCCATCCTTCTGATCCTCCTTCTGCTTGAAGCCTGTGATCTGTTTCATCCCTGACCACACCTCTCTGATATTGTTCTGCTGGAGCTTGCTCTCCAGCTTCTTCTTGTACACCTCCTTGCTGTTTCTTATCTTGACTTTTAGCTGCTTCTGTGTGCTCTTCAATAATTCCCTGTCTCCCTCCCTGAAGGCTCTTTTTTTCTGGTTTAGCAGTTCCTTCAGGTCAGTGGTAATCCCGGGTTTGTTATTGGGGAAGCATCTCATTGTTCTGGTGGGGATGGTGTTGTTTACACAGAACTTTATATAGTTGGTCACACACTCAGTCATGGCATTAATGTCCTCTCCATGTGGCTGGCACAGTGCATCCCAGTCTGTAGCCTCAAAACAACCCCGCAGGGCTTCTTCAGCTTCCGTTGACCATTTTCTCACTGTTCTCTTTATTGCAGGTTGCCTCTGAACAAGGAGTTTATATTTTGAGCAGAGAAACCCAAGATTGTGATCTGATTTGCCAAGAGGGGGTCTTGCTTTAGCGATGTATGAATCCTTGACATTTGCATAAAACAAGTCCAGCGTTTTGTTTTCTCTGGTAGAGCAGCTGACAAACTGTTGGAATGTCAGAAGTGTAGCAGAGAGAGAGACATAATTAAAATCCCCAGATATTGCAACAAACACACTAGGGTGTTGTGTCTGTAGCTTAGCAACCTCGGAGCTGATGACATCACACGCAGTCTCGGCAACAGCATTGGGTTGAATGTAAACAGTTGCCAAAATAACACTGGTGAACTCTCTTGGCAAATAATATGGACGACAACTTAGGGCCAACAGTTCAATATCTGGACTGCAGAGACGACACTTCACAGAAACATGTCCAGGATTACATCATCTGTTGTTCACAAGCACTGCCAACCCACCTCCTTTTCTTTTGCCACTCCTCTTTAAATCTTTATCTGCTCGTATGGTCAGAAAGCCTGGCAAGGAAACGCTGGAGTCAGGGATATGATCCTGCAGCCATGTCTCAGTGAAACGCATAACACTGCATTCCCGATACTCTGGATGGGTCCTTGTTAGGGCTTGAAGTTCATCCAACTTGTTTCCCAGCGATCTCACATTGCCCATCATGATCGATGGAAGAGATGGTTTAAACTGCATTCTTCTCTCTTTCTCCCTCTTCTTTGCTCCTGCTCTGCATCCACGATGCCTCCTTTTCAACTCATTTGGGATTTGAGGCTGTAGTTGAGATATTATTTGAGCTTTGGAGATGTTAATCAGCTGCTCCCAGTTGTAAAAAACCTTGTTGTTATGGTTACGCATCATAACAAATGTCCAAAAGTAAAGATATTTCTGTAAAAATCCTTCCAGCTGCACAGCATCCGACACCAGAGGAAATAATCATCCAAAAAAAGCGATTTATATCCAGAAAAAAGAGGAATTAAAGTTATCAAAAGTAATATCTCAGAATGAAAGTAACAGAGCTACTCCAACATGCAGCCACCTTGAGCGGCGCAATTCTAGAACTCTAGAACTTTTGAGGAGGGGGGTGGGGTTCAGCTTTACAGAAAACGCAATGTGAGTGCTGCCTTTAGCTTTTTAGCTAGAGAGCCTGTATTTCATGCAGCTAGCTTATTGGTATGTCAGTGCCGGGTGTTGGGGGGGCAAATTCGGTTTGGTAGGCGGGTTGCTCAGTTCTGTTGACAGGGTGGGGCACCCCGCTTGTATAATGGTAGGGGAAACACTGCACTGGATCTTAGTGAACTTTATAAGAAATGAGGTAACTTAATAAAAAAAGCCTAATTTGAATTTAGCCAGTGACAGTAGCCACACCTATAAAAAGATGTTTACAATTTTACATTTGACCTAAACCAGTTTGTTGAATACAACACCAACAGGGTGTACCAGAAACCAGTTCACAGATGGACCTGAATGTTGGGTGGGCTACAAAATTTACCATGGCTTGGAAAATATATAAAGTGTTTCTGATGTCCTTCTTGTCTTTATACTCCTGCTGTCCTAATCTGACCAATCTCCTGCTAAATTACTTGAACAATAATCTGTCTTCAGACCACAGATCTTACTGGGACAACTGGATCAGTTTCAGACTGGCAGCTTCCACCGACTAAAACTAGAAGGTCAAACCATCCATCCATCCATTATCTTTACCCGCTTATTCCATTTTGGGTCACGTGGGTCGCTGGTGCCCATGTCCAGCAATCACTGTGCGAGGGGCGGGGTACACCCTGGACGGGTCGCAAGTCCATCACAGGGACACAAAGAGACAAACGAGACAAACAACCATTCACTCTCTCACTCACACCTAGGGACAATTTAGAGTTACCAGTCAGCCTAACATGCATGTTTTTGGTCTGTGGGAGGAAACCGGAGTACCCGGAGAAAACCCACGCATGCACGGAGAGAACATGCAAACTCCACCCAGAAAGGCCCCTGGACCGGGGTTTGAACCAGGGACCTGCTCGCTGAGAGGCAGCAGCTCTACCAGTTGTGCCACCGTGCTGCCCAAGGCCAAACCAATTATGGTATATTAGATCTTGTTGTGCAGTTAGTTCCCTGAAAATGGAGAGCATCCTGTGCTCCAGCATCATTCAACATTTGTTTAGACTGGTTAATCCCATTGAGCCTGGAGGACTGATTTACAAGAGAGACCTGAACAATGTGATCAATGGTGTGGCATGGAGGCTGCACAGCTGCAGAAAGAAAAGCTTTGCAGAGAGTGGTGAAGGCTGCACAGAAGATGCTGGAGTCAGTCTCCCCACCATCACAGACATCTACACCTCCAGATGCAGGAAGAGGGCCATCTGCATCATGAAGGACTTCACTCACCCAGCACACACACTTTTTGCCCCACTCCCCTCAGGAAGGAGGTTGAGGAGCATTAAGTGTAGAACCACTAGACTGAGGAACAGCTTCTACCCTGAGGCTGTTAGACTCATGAATCTCTAACTAGAATAATCACTGTGAAAAATCACATCATGTTGCTGCTGATCTGTTTCATGTTGCTGCTGATCTGTTTCATGCTGCTGTGTTCATGCGTGCACATCTGCTCACACAGACTCATGTTCGTGCTGCTGTTCAACGTATTGTTTTTATGCTACTAGTGCTTAATGTATTTTAGTTTATGTTTTTCTTAGTTCATATCTTTGATGTTATTACTGTTTATCTTTTACAATTTATACTTTTATTGGATGTAACTGGGACCCTGTGTACACAGTTTTGTTCCACCACATGCGCCACACGTGGTGCGTGACAAATAAAGAACCTTTGACTTTGACAATAAATGAGAGCACATGAGGCACGAGGCCCTGAAGCCACACGGAGCTCATGAAAACTCTGAGTTTAAAGAGACACTAAAGAATCAAACAAGTGCTAACGTCCTGAAAGAGTCCGGTAAAGAAAGTCTTCCTGTGCAGTAAATCTGAGAGAAACTAAGTGATCGATCATTTCTGTTATCCTACACAGAATTCTCAGGATTCACATTTGTACAAATGAGAAACTGCTGCTTTCTGTGATTTTGCTGCAACATGAGAAGCACTAAATGAAGAGAATGTTCTTTGTGATGAGCGTAGTTGAGTTGTTGTGGAGCCTCCACAGCATCACGGGTGTGTTCTGACTGAATGCTGGGTGCTGAGGCGTCACGGTGGAACCTGAACAGGCTTCGTGTCGTTGCTGAACGTGCTCCACTTGCTTCCTGTCTGTTCCAGCTGGTCCCCCCCTTCCAGCCCCAGGTGTCCTCAGAGACGGACACACGCTACTTCGACGAAGAGTTCACAGCACAGACCATCACCATCACCCCGCCTGAAAAATGTAAGCACATCTACTCTGAACATCCTTCTGTCCTCATGTACCTGGTGTGAAGGAGCACTCTGCTGCTTTAGGATCAGTTTACTGATCAGGACTGCTCAGTGTTGGTCTTCTGGGCTACTAGAGCAGGCGTGGGCAACATATGGCCCGAGGGCCAAAAGAGGCCCTTGAACAATCTCCATCTGGCCCCCAATATTCTTAATTGAACCAAAAACATCTTTTCAATAAATAAATGGTAACCAGCATTTTATCAATGAAGAAGAAGGAGGTTCAACTTGAACATCTTGGACAAATACGTAGAAAATATTTGGATTAAGACTAAAGCCCCCAGTATACTGCCGCGTACATCCATACGCAGAGGTACGCACGTACGTACACGGAGGTACGAGCGTACCCCCCAGGGCATGTCCGTGCAAAGCTCAATTTTTACAACCGCATACGCGTACGTACGCGGTGTCGCACAATAAACTGCCCAGCGAGGGACTGTTTTGTTTGCGACACCAATGTATTAAATTCCTTCTTCATCCCTGATCTGGCCTTTTCTTTAGTTTTTTTGCCAAGAGGCAGTGATCTCTTCCTCCTCCGTTGATGCCATGACTGAAATGGTGACAAATGAAGGAATTTGTCAAATTAAACTCAGGTCCAGCGTGGCTGCGGGAGGTCTGGAGATTTCCTGGTGGGCTGCTCTGATGTGTGGGCTGTAGAGCCAGCGCTCCCTGTTTTTTTTGTTTTTTTTTTAGATCTTTTTATTAACAACATATAAACACAGAAGACCGCTGTGGCGGAGGCTGCCAGCGCTCACTTTTTCTTATTTTTTCCAACCTGTCCAGTAGGCGTGTCAACAAATGACCAGTCGATTACCTCAATTTGTCCCGAAGGTAAACGCCCCTTGTCTGTGAAGCTGCTCTGCAGCTGCTCGGGGTGTACGCTGGAGTTTAATGACTGAACCCTCTGCGTACAGTACACGTGTACGTACACGTGAATGGACGTATGCGGCAGTATACTGGGGGCTTAAGACTTCTTTAGTCACTGTGTTTACAGAACTACACTGAACCTTAAACAGAAAACAAAAGTAACTTTTTGTTGCATATATATGTATACAAATATAT